AGCATATTCTGTATGAATACAAAGTACGGTGTTTTTTGTGAAAGGAGATGAATAGGGACCTTTCAGAAGAATGGAGAGGACCAGAAAGGGTGAAAAATCTTGATGAGACAAGGTAATGAAAAGAATAGGAAATATGACAAGTCAGACAGGTACCAAGAGATGGGCCTTATCAAAGGAAATGGAATCTGTGAGCTCATTCTTCACTCTTCTGCTATAGGTATGTTCTATCCCATCATAAGGGAGGGTATTTGCAAGAGGAATAAAGACACATTCATTTTCCTCTAGAATTTTGAAAGTCTGACTTTTCTTCTCTGTTAAATCCTTAGATGGAGTGAGTGGCCAGAAGAATGCTGACAAGTCTAAAGAGCAGTTTAAAAAGAGAGTTAAACTATTTGACATAGTTTTGGATTCAGCAGATTCCTCTTTTGCTATCATTACTCCCAGCCAACCTTCAGAAGCTGAGTTCCTCATTGCTTTAAATTCTTTACTAGAAGTATGCTTTAAAAACTACACCTTTTCATGTGGTATTCCTTCCTATTGTCACAGAGGATAAAAATTACACCCACTCATTACTGGCAAATAAAACTTATTGTATCACTTCTTTCTTGAGCTAACAAGAAAGTTCATAAACTGTTGATGATCAGAACTAATCTGCTCTCCATTGTTTTTATTGGCTACATGTGGTCAGAGAGAAGAAGGACTAGGATACTTATTTTACTCTTTTATTTTCTTTTTGATTTACACTCATCTGGTACAATCCTGAAATCTGTGACAGAAGTACCATTAAAGGAAGAATATAAAATCATGCGTGGAAAGTTACTTTTTATAGTTGAGGCTTGTGCCTATATTCACATATTTACAAAATTTGATGGAAAGTTCTGGTATGACTACATATTTCACAAAATGTTCTTGAGGTTCTCCATACAAAAAGCAGAAATTGTAGAGCAGGGCTGCTTAATATTGAATAATTAAGGCTACTAGTTTAAATGAAATAACTTGAATCCTTTGCCTGCCACACCGTTGTTACACATGCTTGTGCATTGCATGATGTGCTTGTAAAAATAAGAATTGTAAAATATTTTCTTCAAATAGTTCGTTTGTTATTGGTGAAATTATTAAGGCCACTCCATGTAGTTAAAAGGGAGATTTATTTAGTGGCATAACTTACAAATGAAGGCATAGGTAGGTTGCAGTTCCTGGGAAAGATGCAGCACAGTCTGGCAGTGTTCTCTGAAGAACTCTGCTCGGTCTACCTCCAGCGTTCAGCATCCAGGAATCAAGAGAGAAGGTGCGTCTGGATCTCAGGTCTTCAAGGTCCTCTCTTGGACCCAACTTGTACGCATGACAGTTACCGAAGCCTCAGTGGGTGTTGGAACATCCAGATCAAGGATGGAATGACTACCCACTACATCTCCCCCTTTTGTTTAAATACAGTTCTAACGTAATACAAGACTATATACAAAGGGATGGTTATCAAATATTGTCTAAGAATAATGAGGGATAATGACCTACATAAGATGGAACTACAACCAATGCAAACAATATCAAGCAAGAAACATACTAAAATCCAGAGAAGTCTAGAGCATAGGTAAATGGCATGTTACAAAGATCATTCCAAAAGGTTTCCTATCCTAAAAACCTGAATCTAATACTTAATATGTCCTATCTAAGATATTATAACTGCTAGTCAATCCCATCAAAGACCTCAGAAGGAATATAATGGTACCTGAGAAATGGTAGAAGGATGCAAGCAACTTTCAGGAATCTTGCAGGAGTAGACCGAGACCGCTGGCAGCCTGGAGAGTCACCTAATGTTTCTCAGCATTGTTAGTGCATTCAGATTGGCTACAGGCCTAGAATATCTGACAGACCATTTTCAGAAGCAGGAATTCTGAAAGACCATCTTACCCTGTCTTGGCAGAGTACAGTGGTCACTTTCCTTGTGTCCCGCTTGTCCAGGAAGGACAGCATTCGTACTGTCAGCAGTTGAGGCAATGGCAGTTCTTAGCCCAGTAGGCTATTTAATGCCAAGAAGAAGACAAACTTCCAAATGGAAATGTCTTAAAAGCCCAACATTATATTGTAACTGTAATTCTTGCTTGATAATTGTTTTGTTATATGTAATTTTACTACGTTAAAGTTAAAACCTTCTTTTTTGAAAAAGAAGAAAAGGGGAAGTGCTGTGGATCTCTCTCTATATATAAATAAAACACTGATTGGCCAATAACCAGACAGGAAGTATAGGCAGGACGAACAAAGAGGAGAATTGAGGACACAGGAAGGGAAGGGAGAGACCTGCCAGCCACTGCCATAACAAGCAAGATGTAAGGTACCGGTAAGCCACGAACCACGTGGCAACTTATAGAGTAATAAAAATGGGTTAATTTAATATAGAAGAACTAGATAGGTAGACGCCTGAGCGATTAGGCCAAACAGCTTAAATAATATGAGTCTATGAGTTTATTGTATAAGTGGGCTCCGGGACTGGCAGGGTTGCCAGGGGCTGGAGAGAAAACTCTCCATCTACAGTTTGTCCATGAAATAAAAGAACTCCACTAGCTGGGCAGTGGTGGCACACGCCTTTCATCCCAGCACTCAGGAGACTGAGGCAGGCGGATCTCTGTGAGTTTGAGGCCAGCCTGGTCTCCAAAGCGAGTTCCAGGAAATGCACAAAGCTACACAGAGTAACCCCCTGTCAAAAACCATAGAAATGTCCCTAGGTACAATCCTCCCCGACATTGTTCTTCACACTTCCACCCCTCTGTTTGAAAAAAAAAAAAAAAAAAAAAAAAAGAACTCCACTAAAATATTTCAGATTATTCATGTCTTTGTAATGTCCAACAATATATGCAGCTAACTGTTACTTGACTGAAAATAAGTTTCATTCTACACTGAGGTTGCAGAATTCTTTCAGTTCTTCAACTGAACTTAATTATTATTCCAATGTAGTTAAAACTGTGATTTACATCATCATTCTTTCATATGTATACCCAGAATTTAGCACTGAAGGTACTCTAAATGAGGAGTTTCATTTCTACTCAAAATGAAAGCTCTTTATATAAAGCCATACAGTTTTAAAAAATCTAAAAAACCTGATGTGGCAATTGCTCCTGATCAGCTGAATTCCAGGTAGTACAAACTACCCATTTAAAAAGATAGAGGCTGTTTTAATATTAAATTTTGTCAAGAACTTAGAGAAGAAAGTAAAAATAAAAAAGGTAGATTTTCAGTCTGAAATGATAACAAAATTCTAAAACCCAAATGTGGAAAGAATTCAAATTCCTAGAGGATAAAGAGAAAAATAGAAACATTGATCCACAGTGAATCACTTTTCTATAGGCCCTTATCTACGCCCATTAGAAACTGAGTGTGTTTGTAACCTTCAGCTTTAGTAATAGTGGCCACTAACTGTAAGCCAGTGGTTGGTATCAGGCATAATGTATGGAAGTCACATCATACAGTTGGTGCACTAAAATTTGCTCTAGTTCAAGGTATGTATGGTGGTATTTTATTTGTATTGAAATGTGATTTTATTTGTATGTTAATAAATAAAGTTGCTTGGGGGTCAGAGCAGAGCTGGGCATTCATGGTGCATGCCTTTAATCCCAGCACTTGGTAGAAGAGCTAGGTAAATCTCTGTGTGGTCAAGGATACAGTCAGCATTAGAGACACACACCTTTAATCTCAATACCATAGAAGACCTGGAGGGCTGTACATACAGGCAGTGATGAGGCAGTCATGTGTTTGGGTTTACAACCAATGAGAAGGCAGAACAGAAAGACTATATAAAGACAAACACACAGGAAGTAGGTCTCTTTCAGAGAGGTAGGACCACCCCAGGAGGAAGGGTAAGGTTTTAGCTCTGAGCTCTGACCTCTTGGCTTTCTTCTTTACATTGGTTCTGTGTTTCTTATTTAATAAGACAGTTGGTTACATCTACAGGTATGAATGGCTGACACTGCATGAGAAGCAATAACTTTACTTATGAACTCCTGTGGTGATATATATTTTTTCCTAAAAAAATTCTTGATAATAAATAAAGTGATCTTTTTCCCAGACCTTGAAGCCAAATTAATAATTGCCTTGAGGTCATTTAAAACATTGTAGTATTACCTTGCTATTTTATTGTTCTGTTGTGTACTCAGAATGTGTCTAAGTTTAATCTTCCTTAAAGAGAACAATGAAAGCTGGGCAGTGATGGCACACATCTCCTTTATTCCAAGCACTTGAGAGGGAGAGGCAGATTGATATCTTTGATTTTGAGGGCAGCCTGGTATACAAAACAAGCTTCAGGACAGCCAGAGTAACACTGAGGAACCCTGTCTCAAAAAACCAAGAGACAGAGAGAGGGGTGGGGGAACAATATAACCATCCTTACTATGCCTTGAATTTCTCATGCAATCAGGTTTTAATATTTAAGGTAAATGGATAGCTTTATTTTTAAACTAGGTATTCTTTCCATTCCCCTGATGAAGACTAATATATGTATGTATATTTGTGTTGTGATAATCATTCATTGAAAGCAGACGAGAGGTTAAAAGCAACCTTAAACAAAGCAATTATCCCATATATGTTGGAAGCATCATCTTTTTTTTTTTTTTTTTTTTTTTTTTTTTAGTTTTGAGTGCTATTCTGTGCAGGTAAAACTCTGGTAGAGATTTATGTAGAGAATCTTTCATTTCTTTCCCATGCCATACTTTTCTGTGCTGTTCAGTAATCAGGGCACAAAGCCCTTTGTTTGGATCAAATGGAAGATGCAGTGGGTGAAATGGAGAAATCAAATTTGCACTTGCTCTTCATAAATCTACTCCAAGGAAGTCACTTTATTTTCCTCCCTTAATCTGTTATTTTATGCAAACCTCATTCTTCTCTAGTAGGAAGTTGTATGTGTCTTTAGTGAGTGAGGGACAGAATGCCCTTTTGCCTTGTTCAAAATACAGGTGAATTAGAGTCTAGGAAGCCATAGTAAATTCAGTTCCTACCCATGCCTTTTCTTTCAGTGACACTGAACAAAAATCGTCTGCTTTTGGGAGCTTGAGGAAAATGACATTAATACAAAGTACTCTGCAGAAATGAAAATCAGAAATTCATTGGCACTGTGGAGAGGCAAGACACTCATCTGAATCCAGACTTCTCACAATAATGAGAAAACATACACAGCACTGGGGAGGTACAAAAGCATTCCACTTTACCATCCACTGATCACAGGTGTACAAGTCTTAGGTAAGTCCAAGGCTAGAGCTGAACTGAATAGTGTCTCTCACTCCTACTGTGAACCTATCAATAAGATGAAAGGCCTTTCATGTGCTAGGAATAGGCAAAGAGCTTAGAAAAATGACGCCTCTACTTTTTAACTGTGTAGTTTTTGAAAATCCATTCACCAATTTAGGCTTATATGAACTTTAGAAAATAGTAATGTAATACTGGAAAAGTGTGAAGACTTAGGAAACACTTATTTTAACAATAGCCGCAACAAAATAACTCAGATAAGAACATATCATCATCAAAAAGCTTCACAGAAAAAGAGAAACTCTCATTTCCTTACATAAACATTATTTACCTAGGCTATTCTATTTCTTTACAAACAATGTTAACTAATATAAATTTTATTAAATATCTGTGAAAAAACAGGAAAATTATTGGTTGCCAAAGGCGAAGGTAGTTAAGTCAATTTAGAGATTGGTCATACTATAAAATTATCTAGAAGTTTACAAATATTTGTGGTTAATATGTTAAAGAATCTAAGAGAAAGTTAGCTTTATGACCCAATAATTAAAACAAAGACAAATTATCTATATAAAAATGAAAATTCTGGTAATAGAAAAATATGATTTTGATACATTTATTTCCATAATTTATATTTCAGGGAAAAGCTGTCTTACGTAGAGATCAGTTATAGAAATCTTTCAAAGCAACACAAAAATATAATATAGCAAAACATCCATAAAACTATTTACATTATCATTGATATTCTTTTAAAAAAGGATTCAGTGTTTTTTTTTCTTTTTAATATGCATGGGTGTTTTCCCTGCACATATGTCAGTCTGCCATATAGTTACTGCCTGTGCAGGCCAAGAGATATCAGATGCCTGGGAATAGAGCTACAGAACCAGAGCTACAGCTATGAGCTGTTGTTTGGATGCAGAGAATTGAACTTCAATCCCCTGGAAAAGTATCCAGTACTCATTACTGGTGAACCATCTCTCCAAATCCCTTTAACTGATAGCCTAGAAAGAGAAATTTTAGCAATCATTTCTTAAACACTTAGTTACCCAATTTTGATTGAGTATTTCAAAATAATACCTCAAATCAAAGAAATTTAGAGTATGAAACTAAGAAAAATGCAAATAATATCGAGTAAAAAACAAAATAAAAAAATCAAACCCCTGTTGCTCTGTAATGTGGAAAACAGATATAAGAGGGGAAAAAAAAAGAAATCTTGAAATCAAAGAAAAATAAATGTTGCATAGAACAGAATAAAATTTCAAACAAAGCTTTAATTCTGCTGCAAATGGAAATACAAAGATCAGGAATTCAGAAATAAAAAGTATTTTATAAATTTACATTATAAAATATATCTCTAAATTAAAAATAAAAGAACTATAACTAAATATATTTCTAATGTTCTTCCCTTAAAACAAATAATTATGGAAACTATGAAATAATAATAAAATGGGAAATTCAAAATGAATTTATAAAACAATAAAAATCAAGTAAATTGTTAAAATTTAAATACAAACTTAATATTCTTTATAACTTTAAAATCTGATTACATAAATAAATATAGTAAAATATATATTTTGATAGAATAAAAATATATAGCACTATACAAGAATGAATTAGAAAGATGTTATTTATTATTATACACTATTATAGACATTCTACCTGACTTGGCAGTAGAATGATTATATTAAAGATAGATTATAAAGGCTACAGATGATCTGCTTCAACAAAAGTAACTCAGAACAAAATATGGTGTGCTTCTAGTTAGTGAATAATGAAGACAGATCACAAACATACAATATATTTATTTATCTTGAATACCACACATGCAAAGAGAAAACATGCAAATGATGGATTTTAAACTTAGCTATATTGATAATCATATTAAATATTGATTGTACAAAATTCCAGTTAAAAGCAGAATTTGTAAGATTTGATTCTCAATAAACATCATGCTTATTTTTCTGATTCTTACAGGAAATGTCCTTCAAGTAACAGGAGATGAGAAATACTACCCCTCACTAGGGAAGCTTCTATGTATAGCAAATGCAGACCGTCACAGAAAAAACAGAACTGAAAGCAATACAGAGATCAGTGGATTTTGGGGAGCCCAGAGCCACTGTATACATCTACATCACAGCTCTGGAATCTGTTGCTCATGGACTATCAAGGAAGATGAGGCAGAAAGACCTTGAGAGCCAATAGACCTGAAGTCTGTTGTAAAAATATTCTCTTCTAGAAACAGCTGCATTAAAAAGGTCCATTAAAGCAGCAATCTCAATAAACTTGCTACACTAAATGGAATAAGAAATCATGAAGTCCCATCCATAGACAACAAATTATAGCCATCTAATGACTGCTGGGAGAGGGAGAAGAAATCCTTCTTTGGTTTTCCATTGAAAAGTTGTCAGCCCTGAAACCAAACAACAAAAATGGACTTAGCAGATTGTATTTATATATTTATTCATATATATGTAATAATAATAATCAAAGATAAAAGAGACTATTAGTTCTGTGTTTATAAGGGAAGAAATGCGAGGGTACTCAGGAGGGGCTTGTACAAGGAAAGAGAAGGGAGAAAGTGATATATATTTCTATTTGAATATAAAATGCATGCAATTTTTTAAAAAGATATAATAGAAACTCTACAGGAGGAAGCTCTACTATTGATTAGAAGATGGTTAAAGTAAGTGAGGGACAGTGGATGTGACTCACAGTCTTTCATTATGTTTGGATCTACACTGAGTGCAAAAGGAGGTCACCTAACTGGACTGTTATTATAATTTCTGAATATTAGTGAGATTATATAAAGATAGGTGTGGATTCAGATAATTAATAAACTCCTAATTTGTTCTTGTTATTCTTGAACTTTAATTATGAGTCACATTTAATGTGATAAGGTAGAATTGTCTCATAAACACACAAGTATGTGACCAAGTAGGGTAAAGAAAATATGTACTGCAAATAAATTATTTATGGAATTGTCGACATAAAGCTGAAAAATAAAAGACAAGATAAGTAAAATAAAGACAAGAAAAGTAGAGATAATCTTAAAAGAAAGCTGAGAAAAAATGAGCAAGCTATATCCAAAATATGTACAGTGATTAGAATGAGTACAAAAACCAAATGGTTTCATGTCATGGGAATTATATTAACTGTACCAAATGACATTGTAAATCCATCAGAAATGAGACAGAAACAATAGTATAGAAATGAATATGGTAGTTTACCATGCAAATTTTATTCCATATTCAGAGAGCTGTTGATTGGGAGCCCTCATCTCATAGAATTTTTCATATATAGCTGACAAGATCATATATTCTTTCTACAGTGGACCTAAACTTGGTGACTGGGCAATGTGAGACCACATTTTTTTATACCTTTCTGACAAAACAGACAAAAAAGACATTCCAGTTTCTGAAAGCTTCCTTGTTACTTCATCCAAGGTAGATTTTCCTTTACTCCAAACCTAATTCTTTTCCTTCACTGGCATGTATTCCTGATTAAATTTTCAACAAGTCAGTTTTATCCAAATGTCTGCTTTCCAGATAGCAAGGTGCAATTGTTGATAATGATAATGACAGGGAATGTAGGCATCATGCTGAGATTTTGAAGCTGGCTTATGAGCTGCCCAGATGGTAAGAGCATTTTACCTGGTGATTGTTGAACACAGATAGCCCTGTATGACATTACAATTGTTATATTTTTCACCCATGGAGAACTTGGATGGAAAAAACAACTGTAGAAGGACAAAGTGGAAGTGAGTAATTTTCATTCAAAAACAAAAATAGTAGATTGGTGATTTCTGAATTGGATGGTCCATCCTTAGAATACTTTTATGAACATTTTGGGAAAATATGATAAAAAGTTAAGGGTAATTAATAAATAAAGTCTAAATGTGAAAGCTAGAAAGCCTTTCTTTGGAACTCATAAATATTTTGTCTCCTGCAGCTAGAGGGCAGAGAAAGATGATGATCAGGTTCAGAATTAAGCTTCTGCATGGCAGAACTTCAAAGAATGTTCCAATTCCAATGGGGGCAGTTTCCCCTTGTCAAGGTCAGAATTCTTACTGGGAAGGAATGTAACTGAAGTCTCTGAGAGGAAACATCTGTGTTCTACTATAAGACTCCATAAAACTCTTGCATTCCTTTGAATTTGCAAGTTTGTAATAGAAGTAGTGTGCTGTCCTTGGCTTGTAGGAATAACAAACAATTTCCTTCTCTACAAAATGAAGTAGAAGTTACGTTCTTGTGAAGAGGCAGAAGGTATGACACTTCACCAGAGCAAACACATATTTCAACTTCTTTTCTCTGAGATAATGACCAGTGTTAAATGTCAGTACATACAATTCAGACAACTCCCATGCCAGCTAAGAGAAGGTAGGGATGATAAATACTTGGTTGGTCAATAAGTTACAGAGGAAGTTGGGAAAGCATATAAGGAAGAGAAGTTATTAGGTTAAAAAGAACAGAAATTTTATCAATGTGGAGAGTCTTCATTTCTACTACAGATCTTAATAATACAGAAGAAGCTCCAACAAAAATCATGGTGCTTCCCAAGCACTTTCTCAGCAGCTTTTGGACCTTTTCTCACACAGAATATCACATGGCTTCAGGTGGGTGGAATTGTGACTATTGTCTAAAAATCTCACTATTCTCCATTAATAACAGTGCTATCGCCTGGGTCTTAAATGTCCCCTCAAAGACCTATCTTTGAATGATGTGGCCCCTGGAATGGCACTATTGGAAATTATAAGAAGTGGGGCTAAGAGAAAGTGTTTTTTAATCCCTTCAAGAATGGCCTTGAGGGAATTATAGATACCAAGTGTCTCCCCCCACTCCCCCCCCCCGCTCCTTTTAACTTTCTTGTTTTTGTTGAGCAGTTTGGTGCCATTATGTACCCCTGCAGAGGTGTGCTGCCTCATCACAGACCTCAAAGCACTATATTCAGTCAATCAGGAAATAGAAATTTTAAAATCATGAATCAAAATTATTTTTTATATAATTGGTTTGTCTTAGATACCTGTTATAGTTGAATGTGAATGATGAACACAATCAGGGAATATAAGAAATAAAACCATCCAAATCAAAAAGAAAGAAAGATAATTTTCTGTTTGCAGGTAACTGATACTTTATATAGAGAATCTAGTCTCAGAGCTGAGGAGATGGCATGATGATGAAGAGCGCTTGGTGTTCTGGCAGAGGTTCTGGGGTCTGACTCTAACACCCATATTAGATGGCTTACTATCCTACTGTGACACCAGTTCTGGGACATGCCTGATGTTCATATTTCTGCATCTCTGGACATCGTCAAGCATGTGTGGTACATACACACACGCAGACATCTCCAAACTCATCCACAAATAATAAGTAAAATGTTAATATTGGGTTAAGCAAAATGAAAAAAATAAAAATAAAGGATATATATGAACGATATGGCTAAACTGCTGCCCATTATCAAACTCAGGAAACTTTCAAGACACAAAATTGATATACAGGAGTCTATATTATGTGATTTTCACAGAGTCCATACTTCAGTCTAGTACCAGATGTATATGAACCAATCTGTTGCTCCTTCATACCCATCACTATATAATTCAAAGTCAAGTAACTGGTAATGACTTTGAAATCTACAGATAATTATGGTGATCCTCCCTTACCAAGGCTCCCTTGGCTACTGATGCTGCTAAAGGTTCAACTTTCTCACAGGCACCAGCACTTGATTTTGTGCTTTGAGGGGAAGAAATGCTATGGTCATGGTATGATGCTTGGGATATCAATCCAGCCCAGGTTACAGTGGCAAATAAAATACTTTAATCAATAAAACAATTTCCATAAAATTATGTAATTATATGGCTGTTTTTATATAATAATAATAAATTTATGGGGCTGGAAAGATTTCTTAGTGGATAAAAGCAATTATTCTCCTTGTAGAGGGCCAGCTTTCAATTGCTAGTACATGGCTCACAACCATCTATAACACTAGTTTCAAGGCATATGATGTCCTGTTCTGATTTCTGGAGCCATGCTTGTAATGCACATATATTCATTCATTCGAAACACTCTAATATAAAAATATAATAAGAACATCTAAAAAATCAAAAACAATAAATCTGCATCACCTGCTGCTCTGGTTTTCTACCATGAGTTCCTGCCCTGATGTTCTTCAGTGATGAACTGTGATGTGAGACTGTAACCTGGAATAAATGCTTCCCTGCCAAAGGGAATGTCTCATCACAGCAATAGGAACCGTGACTAAAACATGTAGAGATTCAATATTGACTTAAATGCCTTGTATATCGAACATTTCATTGTACTTGAGAGTTTTTGTTTATTTTGTTTTATTTAAATATTTTGGAGTAGTAAAGTTTTGATATTACTTTTTTATAGATCTGAGACTTAGACAAGGTAATCAGTCTACTTCAGACAGGAAATTGGCGGACACCAGAGACAGAATGAAAATTCAAGTCATTGGATATTTTCAGATATGATCTTCTCAAAACATCTTGTTTGTAAATCAATATCCTTCATTCTGTCATTGAGGATGGATCCTGAGTCAATTATTAGGATTCTATTGATTTTAGCACTTATAATTTTGATTGATGTGATATATAATATATTTTTAAATATTATATATATATTATATATATTATAGTTTACAATGAGACTTAAAAAAACTTACTGCAGTGTTCTACGCAGCAGAAACTTTATTTGTACAGTTTTAGGTTGCCAACATGTATTACCATAAGATGCTTATTTAAAGTACACCTCCAACCATGAACAAAGATGGGGATTGAAAGAACAAGTGGTGCATGCTTGGATGACTGTATATGAAAGGTAGGGAGGGGATCCACCAGTCTTTAGGAGACCTGTGGTATCTGGAAACAGCCAGGAGGAGGAGAACTGGAATGTTAAGGTAGTATGTGTGAGAGGAGGAGGTTTCACAGAATGTCTGGCATTGTAATGGAAATGACAGTTCCTGCTTACTGGAATTTCCACTTCAGGGGAGAGCATCATCTATTGTGTATGTCCACAAGTTGAACAGTGGAACAGGCAAGCCCTATGGAGCCATTGAAGTGACTGAGGTAATGAGTTCCTTTGCTTTCAACCTTTAAGGAAATTTTTGTTTCCTAACTTTCTCCTTCTGCATGTCCAACAGTTGTTTGCTGAGAGGGTACAAGTTTACATTTCTCACACTTTGATGGCTTGATACTTGATCAGAAATCTGATCATGTCAGCTCCTTACGTGTCACACTGAAAACCTTTATTTGAATTTATTTAATTAAGATAGGACCACAAAAAAATTCTGTTATTT